ACTACAGGCATGTGCCACCATGCCCGGCTAATTTTTTGTATGTATTTTTAGTTGTCCAGCTAATTTCTTTCTATTTTTAGTAGAGACAGGGTCTCACTGTTGCTCAGGCTGGTCTCAAACTGCTGAGCTCAAACAATCCGCCCGCTCGGCCTCCCAAAGTGCTAGAATTACAGGCATGAACCACCGTGCCGGGCCGTAAAGAACTTTTTGACAAAAAAAGAGAAGACACAACTAATACAATAGTCCTCCCTTAACCAGTGTCACTTTCCATGATTTTAGTTACCTGTGGTCAACCATGGTCCAAAAATATTAAATGGAAAATTCCAGAAATGACTCATAAGTTTTGTTGTGGTTTTTTGAGACAGTGTTTCACTCTGTTGCCCGGGCTAGAGTACAGTGGCGTCATCATAGCTCACAGCAACCTCAAACTCCTGGGCTCAAGCGATCCTCCTGCCTCAGCCTCCCCAGTAGCTGGGTCTGCAGGCACGTGCCACCACGCCTGGCTAATTACAACTCTTAGTTTCAAATTGCACAGCATTCTGAATAGCAGGATGAAATCTCACGTCACTCTGCTCTGTCCCACCCAGGACATGAATCGTCCCTTTATCCAGCACCTCCACACTGATACACCCCTCCCACTAGTCACTTAGCGGCTGTCTTGGTCGTCAGATCAACTGGCTCAGTACTGCAGTGCTTGTGTTCAAGTAACTCTTATTTTACTTAACGATGGCCCCAAAGCACAAGAGTAGTGATGCTGGCAATTTAGATATGCCAAAGAGAAGCTGTAAAGTCCTTCCTTTGAGTAAAAAGGTGAAAATCCTCAAGGAAAGAAAAAAAAATCATGTGGAGATTATTAAGATCTATGATAAGAACGAATTATCCATGAAATTGTGAAGAAGGAAAAAAATTCATGCTGGTTTTGCTGCTGCACCTCAAACTGCAAAAGATAAGTTCTTAGTTAGGATGGGAATGGCATTAAAAGCCAGTGTATACGGGGTTCGGTACCATCCGCCGTTTGAGGCGTCCACTGGGGGTCTAGGGATGTATCCCCTGCAGAAGAGAGGAACCTTCTGTGTCCGGAACGAAACAAGAGATATCACTAAAAACTCTGCAGACATCAAAAAGATAACGAGGGAATGCTACAAACAACTCTACACACATAAATTTGACAATTTAGATGAAATGAAGCAATTCCTCAAAAAATACAAACCACTACAATTTGACATAAAATAGATAATTTAAATAGCCCTATACCTTATTAAAGAAATTGAATTTGTAATTTTAAAACTCCCAAAGATGAACTTTGAAAACTCCAGGCCCAGATGTTTACACTGGAAACTTCTACCACATTTAAAGAATTAACGCCAATTCTTTACAATCTCTTCCAGAAAGTGGAAGAGGAGGGAACTTTTCAATTTATTTTATGAAGCCAGTTGTCTCAGTCAGTTTGAGCCACCATAACAAAATACCTTAGACTGAGTAATTACAAAAAACAGAAATTTGTTTCTCACAGTTCTGGAGGTCAGAAGTCCGAGATCAAGGCATCAGCAGATCTGGTGTCCGGTGAGGGCTGCTTTCCGCTTCCAAAATGGAGCCTTCGTGCTGTGTCCTCCCATGGGGGAAGGGACAAATGCTACGTTCTTATGTGACAGAAAAAGCAAAAAAAGGGCCAAACTTGCTCCCTCCAGCCCTTTTATAAGGATACTAATTCCATCCGTGAGGGTGGGACCCTCATAACCTAATCACCTCCGAAAGGCCCCACTTCTTAATATTGTTGCATTGGGAACCAAGTTTCAACAGGAATTTTGGAGAGGACAAAACCATTCAAACCATAGCACCAGTTTGCCCGGAAACTAAAACCAAAGACTGAAAAAAAAAAAAAAAGAAAAAATACAATACATACGTGTAAATAAAACATATACAGGACATACGGGACGTGTACACTAAAAACTACATGATGTCGATGAAAGAAGTCAAAGAAGATCTAAATAAATGAGAGACCTGGCGTTCGTGAACTGGAAAACCAACTGAGCCGATGTCCGTTCTCCTCCCAGAGCTTAATAAGTACAGGTTTAATGTAATTCCCATCAAAATCCCAGCAAGACGTTTTATGAGATGGAGACAGGATGATCCTAAAATTTGTATGGAAAGGCAAAGAACCAGAACGGCTGAAGCAATTTGGAAAAGAGCGTTGGTGGGAGGAGTCAGTCTACCCGCTGGTACGGCTGATACTACACAGCGCAGCGATCCAGACGGGGCAGCACTGGCGGGGGGGATGACACGTGGTCACTGGGACAGCACAGGGGACCCAGAGAGGGACCCACACAAATACGCCCGGTGACTTTCCACCAAAGTGCCTCAGCGATTTAATGGAGGGAAGATGGCCTTTCCACAAAGGGTGCTGGCGCGTCGGGACATCCACAGACTGAAAAGTAAGCCCGACACAGGTCTCACACCTCATACAGATAATTAACACAAAGTGGATCACAGACTCAAGTGTAAAATGTCAACCTATACAACCTTTAGGGAGGAAAAGCAGAGAAAATCTATAGGATATACAGCTAGACAAAGAGTTTCTTGTAACAGTAAATAAGCAACTATCGTATGACCCCACAACTGCACGCGTATTTATTTATTCCAGAGAAGTGAATACTCACGTTCACACGAAAACCCAAACCTGCACACCAGTGTTTATAGCAGCTTTTTTGGTTATGGCCGAAGACTAGAAACAACCCCGTCCTTCAGCGGGTGAACGATTAGCCAAACCGTGGCGCAGCCATCCCGCGTACCGTTCGACTGCGGATACCTGCCCCGGCGTGGCTGGAGCGCCGGAGTTGCTCGACTGAGCAAAGCCAATCCCAAAAGGTTGCATTTATACAACTTCCTTAAATTCATCAGATATAGAATGGGGAACAGATTGGTGGTTGCCAGGGCTTCAGAAAGGGGCGGGGCTGGGAGGGGAGTGGGCACGTCTATAAAAGGGCGACAGGAGGGCGGTGAGGCTGGCGGTGGTCCTTGGCGGGGATGGAAATACTCGGCTTCGGGCCTGCGGCGGTGAGAGGCTCCTGGCTGCAACCCACGCTGGTCTCGCTGGCGGTTACCACTGGGGAGACGGGGCGAAGGTCCACAGGGTCTCTGTGCTGTTCCTTGCGACCGCACATGCATCCAGAATTATCTCCAAATGAAGAGTGTAAACTAAGTACGGAAAGCAGGTCAGGCCCTGGGTGTAGAACAGATCATCATCATCAACCGTAACCGCATAATTTCACTCTGTTTTCTCTCCAGGTCTTTATCTGGCTTCTTACGAAAGCGAGAGCCCAGAGAACCAAACAGAAAAGGAGAGGTGGAAATCTCTAAGGTGAGTCTTGGCGCCAAGACAGGGTCCGGGGCCGCGTGGGGCAGGACAGGGCTGAGGCGCTTCCGAGAGACCCGCCTCATCAGCCTCCTGGGAGCCTGGCCAGCCCGTGGCGCGGGGGCAGGACCAAGCCAAGGTCGCGAGGGTGGGGTGGAACTCGAGTGCGGGGCGGGGAGAGGAGCCTGAGCCCCGGCCCCACAGCAGAGGCCTCCGTGGGCGTCGGAATGCACGTCCCAGGGCCGGGGATGCCCAGTGCCAGTTCAATGCCACAGTGAGACACACACACCTGCTCGTTCCGCTGTTGACACAGCCACGGGGAGGCTGGCAGTGTGCCCTGGCGGTGGGTTCCGAGGGTGAGCCGCGGGGGTCCGGGGCAGGCCAGGCAGGAGAGCAGCGGTGCAGGGCAGCGAGCGCCAGGCGCTCCCCGCTCCCCCAATGCCTCGATCTGCAGATCGTCTGTTCTGGGGAAGACCTGAGAGGCGCCGAGCTGAGGGGCGGAAGACATGGAGGCGGCAGAAGCCGGCGGCAGCCCTGCCCAGACGGCCGTGGGCAGAGGCAGAGGCAGAGCCTCGCAGCTTCGCAAACCTCCGCTCCGTGGCCAACACCTGCCACGGTGGCCACGTGGGCACAGGAGACCTTTTGTGGGACCTCAGCCCTGGCAGGGCCCAGGGCGTCCAGATACCTCGGGGACACCCTGCCTTCAGGACCGTGGGGTCACGTTGCTGGTCCGTCTGTCCGTCCTTGGTGAGGACACGGCACTGCCCCCAGGGCCAGGCAGCTGCAGCCTCGTCCTCTCACTGAGCGACGTGTGCTTCTCTGGCCGACACCCACCGTCCGTCACCAGGTGGCTCGGAGCCTCTGCGAGGGCAGCGGGCATCAGCGTGACGTGAGACCCGTCTGTGCCCGCTCTGAGCCGCCCGCGGCCCTGCAGTTCTGCCGGTGCACCCGTTCCCCGCCCTCCCGGGGGCTTGTTTCTGCGGCCCGAGCGCCCCCCGCTTCTGGATCCTGCTGGTATCGGGGATGGCTTTCTGGTGACAGCCACGAAACAGAGGCCAGGACAAAGCGGACCCGCGGGCCGACGTGTGTGCGTGACAGTCCTGCCGCCCGTTCCCTGCAGACACTAGAGTCGCTGTAAACACACATTCGCGCATCTGGCACATCGTGTCCATGCGGGCCCCTGAGCCCAGGGTCCGAGGTGAGCTGCGGCTGGAATGCTGGGCCGGTTCTCAGCTCCGCCCCGGGAATGCCGTGGCCACGGTCTGGGTGGCCCCACCCTGCCCCAGACCCCGCGTCGCGCCAGCAGAGCGTGCTACTTAGCAGGTGCTGAGTGGGCCTTGGTGAGCAGATGCCGGCAGCCCTGCCCGCGCCAAGCGCCCCTGTGCGGAGCGTGAGTGACGGAGCTAATTCGGGTCCCTTGGCCACCAGGAGGCCCCTCCTGTGGCCCCACCCTGCCCCTCGTGAACTGAGCCAGGGAGCAAACCAGCTGGGGAGCAGTGCGACTCCACCCGGCACGTGACGAGGGCACCTAGCCAGGAGGTCAGGGAGGGCGCTGTGCACCCCTCCCCTGGGCAGGGCCTGCTGGGTGGGAATAGGGTGGGGAGGGGGCACTGGGGGGCACTGAGCCAGCCTGGCTGGCTTCTGTCCTGGACTTGGGTCCCAGCAGCCCCAGCCCCGGATGCCTTACCCAACTCAGGGAATTCTGCCTGGTGACATCCGCACCTCAGCAAGGCCCCAGGAGTGCCCAGCAGCTGGCAGAGGCAAAGGCATGGTGCCCGTGAGGGTCAGGTGGGGTCTGCTTGCACCCAGGCCACCCCCTTCCGTCTGAGACCTGCGTCTCCTCACACCTCATCGTACTCCCGATGGGGGCCTGGGCCTTGGGCCAAACCTGAGGAGTCTTGAGGGTCAGGAGCTGGCTGGGGCCCCTCCTCACCCCCATCCCTACCCCACACCCTCAGCCCCTGGCACCGCTTGGGCAACGTTGGAGAAGACCCACTGCAGAGGTCCGCAGGGACTGTATCTGCCTCCCGGCTGCCCCGGGCCCTGCCTGTCGGGTGGGGGCGCAGCGCAGGAGTGAGGCTGGGCCTGAGACACCCATGGGGTTCTGGGGGGCCTGGGGTGACTGTCCCTGCTGCATGCCAGCCCTTGCCCAGCGCCAGGCTCCTAGCTGCCTCCAGGGCCAGCCCTTGTCACCACTGTCACCTCCGCAGCCACGGCACAGGCCCAGCTATGTCCTGCCAGTCAGCAGCCCGCTCTCTGACTGCGGGAAAGGTGAGGAAAGGGTGGTGGAGAAAGCAGTACAGCCCCACCCCTGTCCCCCACGACTGGAACTCCGGCGGGAAGACCAGGAGGCAGGTCAAACCCTGTCAGTGTCGATAGGGGAGGGCCCGGCCCCGCTGCAAAGGAAACACGGTGCAGTGTCCTGCTCTGTGGCCTTGCACATGCTGTTCCTGCTGCCCGGCATGCTGTTCCCCACCTGCTCACTCCAGTCAGAGCTGCAGCCTCAGGCGCAGGGCCCGTTGCCCGGGAGCCATTGACATCGTGCTCTCCATGCCTGCCAGTGCCTCGGTGGCCCAGCGCAGAAGGCACCGGGAGGACGGCAAGGTGAAGCGTGGGCTCTGCAAGACGGGGGAGGAGGAGGCAGCCCACAGCCAGCCGCTGGAGAACACGGGCTGGGGTCACCCAGGGCCCTCCACTCTGCTCACACCCCTCTGAGCAGCCGTTGGGTGCCAGGCCCTCAGAAGAGCCGCCCCGCGGCCCCCAGGTGGGCACGGAGTGCCCCTTCCTTCAGGCGCAGCCTCAGAGCCCAGGGAGGGCCTTGCTCGTGGCCACCTCGTCTGTTCCTCAGCCACATCCGGGGCTCGTGGCCCGTCCCTGCAGCGGCGCCTTTGTCCTCCTGTGGTCCTGGCTCCGCGCCCACAGACAGCCAGATGGGAGGGCCACGGGGCTGTGCGGGCCGCGGCCTGTGCCTGTGGGGCAGGCGTCGGTGGGTGGCACAGGTGGTGCCTGCGAGCCCGGCAGGGCGCCCGGCGAGCAGACTCCTAGCGCGGCGCAGCCATGCCCGCCCCTGGGTGGCCTGGCTGCGGGCTCTGCTTCATCGCCCAGCGCTTGTTCTCAGGGCCTTCCAGCGAGGGAGCCGGGTGGCGTGGCCGTGCAGCCTGCCAGATCCTTCCCTGACTGGGCTTTGCCTCAGAAGCCCTGGGCCTGGCTGGGGTCCACGGATCTCTAAAGCCGCTGCCCCCCACGTTGCTACCGCACTGGGGTTCACACCACCCAAAGCAGTTCCTTGGGAGCCGCTGTCTTAGTCCATTTGGGCTGCTCCTGAAAACGCCTTGGGCTGAGTAATTTGCGAACGACAGAAACGCGTCGCTCACAGTTCCGGAGGCTGGAGGTCCAGGACCAAGCAGATCTGGTGTCCGCTTCCTGGTGGACGGCGCCTCTGTGCGCCCTCACGCGGCAGGAGCGGGGGGCTCCCTCAGCTCCTTTCACAAGGACGCCACTCCCGTGCGTGAGGGCAGAACCCTTGACTTGATCACTCCCCAGAGGGCCCCGCTTCTTAGTGCTACCACACTGGGGATTAAGTTTCAACGTGTAGATTTGCGGGCGCACCCACATTCAGATCGCAGCAGGCATCGGCGTTGTGGCCGGCAGCTTAGCCCAGCAACCCGGCTGCATCCAGCCCTCCGTGAAGCCCGTCCAGCCCACCGCAGCCCTCCGGAGCAGGGCCCTGCTGACCCCCGGCAGTTCCCAAAGGTGAGGGTAAGGCCATCCTGGCGACCGTCACCGCCCCCTTCCCTCACAGCTCGGGGATGATGGCCAGGCGCTGGCATGGCCCCTTGGGTCCTTCAGCTCTCTCGGGCAGGTATCAGACTGCAGCAGGGCCTGTAGAAGGTTCTCCAGGGAGGCGGCACTCCCAGCCCAGCCACGGCGCCTCTAAACAGTGCCCTCCCCAGTTCCCAGCTCCCGAGCTACGTTGGTCCCATGGGGGTGACATTCCTTCTCCATCGGGTACTCCTTGGCCGGGCTGACAGGTAAGGTGGTCCTACAGCCAAGGCACAGGCACCTGACTCGAGGCAGACAGGTGACACACTTTCTTCCCAGAGCAAAGCGGTGCTTGCTGGCTTAGCAGCAGCAACGCCCTGACAAAGCCACCCTCGGGTCCAGCTGTCCAAATCCCCAGAGCCATCTGGGTGCTGTCCTTTCTGAGCCCAGCTCTGCTGCCCTCCCTGCCAAGTGAGCTACCTGCAGCCTTCCAGAGGGTCCCTTTCTGTACAACTTGGACCAAGTCTGTCTCTCCTGCCTGTGAGCAAAGGGCCCTCCTGGACACACCAGGCTGCCTGGCGGAGGGGCCCTCGGGACTCCAGGGCTCACCACCACTGCGGGTGAGCTGAGCGCCAGCACTCAGATGTGGCGGCCGCTGGTCTCAGGCCTGCTTCAGGCCGGCCATCGTCTCCTCGCGCTCAGCTGTGGGTGGCTCAGCCATTCATCACTCTGACCAGACAAATCTTGACAAAGAACAAAGCGATGCCTTCGATCCTGCTGAGAGGCCGCCACCCCGGCTGCCTGTGCCTGCTCAGCATCCCCAAGAAGGGATCGGGGCCAGGCCCCATCCGAATTCCTGGAGAGAGCTCAGCCTTGGGCCTCTGGCTTCCTGGGCTGGGCCAAGTGCAGGGAAAGCCAGGAGTTGTCCGAATCCTGAGCCTGACACCAACCTGCGGTAGCGAAATGAGCGAGGGTCCTGGAGCCAGCTGGGACTGGGCTTGCACCCCAGAGCCACCGCTCACCCCTCCTCAGCTGGGCAAAGAGCTTCTCTGAGCTTCAGTTTCCTGATCTGCAAAATGGGCATAATAAGCCCTATGTATGAGGGTCCTCGGGGAGATCAAATCCTGACACCTTCCAAATCTGAGCATTTGTCTGTCACTTCCCTGTCTAGAGGGTTGTCACAGGGTCACCCCACCAGACTGTCGCTGGCGCGGCCTGTGAGCCCTGGGCTTGGGGAGACAGCCAGCGTGGCAGGCCTCCCTCTCCACGCCCCTGCCCTGCCGTAACTTCCCTAAGAGACCCCAGCGGGGCAGGAAGGAAGCAGCTTTCTTCACCTAGTGGAACCTCTCGGAGGTGACAGGAGCCTGGGCCAATTCCTTATTTTGAGCTTCCTGATGTACTAAAAATGAGGAAGTTGACAGTAATTGTGGTATAATTTCAATGTTTACACAAAAAGGGTAGAATACAATATATTTATGTTATTGAGAAGATAATTGCAGAACTCCGTATATTTCTGGTGAATTCTGAGTGGTGCAGTTCCACTCCTGCTGGAGCTGGGGCTGTACCTTTCAAGTCTGCATTTCTAGAAAAAGTCATAACTAAACCCAGTGCAGAACCTTTATGGGATCTCATTCAAAGAAAACAGGGTGAGGGGGACATTTTAGATGTTTGGGAACATTTGAATAACGGTGGGATATGGGATTATTTTAAGAGATTA